GAACAGTAGACATTACCCAGCACACATGTTAGTAACAACAGCTCAACATTTTCTCCCTTTCCCTTCATTCTCTTCCTCTCTCTCTCTCTCCCTTCATTCTCTTCCTCCCTCTCTCCCCCATTCTCTTCCTATCTCTCTCTTCCTCCTTCCCTCTCTCTCTCTTTTCCTCATTCCCCCTCTCTCTCTCTTGCGCACCCCCTCCTCACTCTCTCTCTCTTTCTCTCTTGCGTACCCCCACCCCCCTTATCTCCCCCCCCCTCTCCCTCTCTCAATATCTCTCTATTACTGAACAAAGTATTATAAGCACATATAAAAAAGTAGACTGAGACAAAAAATACCTTTTCATTGAAAGTATAAAAATGCATTATGTGTATTTGCACCCCTAAACACATTATTTGAGAAGAAAGGAGTGAAAGAAGGAAAAATTAGAGACAGAAGGAATTTTATGACACTAATCTTTTCACTTAAAAGATGAAAAGAATACACCTTAAAGTCAGAGAGGCAGTTTGAGGAAAATCTTTGTACATTATATCATCAAACACAAAACTGACTTGGAAACAAAATTAAAAACAATGACCGCTTGTGATAAAAGTAAAACCAAAGGAACAAAAAAAAATGTTAACTGATAAACAGCTGAAATTTAGAATTTGTTTTTTTCTTTTAGTAGAGGTTTTACGGCGCTCGCAACTGCATAAACTCATATGAGCGCCAGAACATTAGAGGTGTTACAAGAGAGTAACAAACATAACAAAGGAGGGGAGATAAGAACGATAGATGTTTGATAGGAAAGAAGGAGCAAACCACACCTGAGCACCCGCCAACCACCCACAGACAATAGCATTTGCTTAAATATCACAATTTAGCAAGGTGACATATCTCGGTAGACCCCACAAGCACAGGTACATCTATCTGCCTGCGTCAAGAACGGCCCAGCAAGATACGAACCCACATAATTGATGCACGCAGGAAAGACACTCGGCAATCCTCCTACAACTTTGTTATTTTCTTACATCTAAAAACGGTCTTCAAAAATAATTACACAACAGAGGGTGTAAGGGGTACATCGACACATCAGTCGGTAGCACTGCCCCGAGGTGGGAGGGGGGGGGGGGCAGGGAGGCGGTCTTCTTTTTCATCTCACAAAGCGTAAGCATACACACAGTCAAACAATTCCACACAGGGTCGGACAGTCCCATGGTTGGCTACAGCAATTTCACAACCACACTGCTATATACAGAAGCACAAATAAAAAATTTTTTAAGAATTAAAAAACCAATGAAATGTAAAAAATTATGACCATCTAACACGTACCATTGTGCAACCAATTTTACAAGGATGTCATTGGGTTCTACAATACAACATCAACAATGAACATAGAACAATTGCAACAAATCTGTGGCATAAAAATGAAACACTAGAAACTGTTGTTACAATATTGCATGGACACATGGTCACAGCAACAAAGAAAAGAACTTATGAAAAAAAAAACATTTTTAAAAAATCCACAAATTAACATAAACTGAGAAAAGAAAAACAGAAATCAAAATGTTACACAGATCATCACATCTATCCCCCCCCCCCCCCCCCCCCCCCCGCCCCCCTTTTCACCCCAACAAAAAAACAACAACAACGAACAAATAAAAACCAGACTAACAACTAACAATAATAATATGGGCATTCTGAGAGAGACAGAGAGTTCAAAGATTGAAGTATACATAGCAAAGTGTGTTATTATTGAAGTTCCATTCTTTGATAAGTTGATTAGTTCAATTCCTGGTACATAATCAAAAGTGATCAACAGATCTGGAATCGGTATGTTTTGTTTTTTTCAGATACAGAAAAACAATACCTTCTGACAACAAATATAAATACAGTCAAATCTGACCAAGACAGAATTGCAACGAAGCCAGAAAAAAACTGGCGGTGCGATCAGAGCAACAGGCAGTGGTCAAATTAATTTCACACCTCCATGGTACCCAGGGAAGATCCCACGCTGGAGCGCCGCACAAGAACTTTACCAGCAGTGATGAGATTTCCCACCCACACCACCCTGGCCAACTGCATCGCTCAGGGCTCACTTAGATAGGGCAACGGCTTCCCCCAAGCCACACCCCCCCCCCTTCCCCATTCAGCGGCATGACGTAACAGTAGGAGCCAATGGAACCAAACATTGAGGGATTTTTGTCTTTTCAGATTAGAGCTGAGTGGGCAAAGTATTTTCCGTCTTGTACAGGTCAAACCATCAGAAGGGCAAGAATTTCCCTTTCTGTTTCTCAATTGAGCAGATATCTATTTTAGAGAGATATAAGTCTTGGAAAGGTATTCGCCAAAGCAGGTTAGACTGTATAAACATACTATGGAATACATCGAAGTCAGTACCAGCAATTTACCATTTAAGAAAACATAAAAACACAATACTGAATGACGAATCTCTCATCCACAAAAAATATGAAAAAAAAAGACCCGTATATCAATATCTACTAATACTCCCCACCCCCGAATCAGGCAATTTCCCATTCATAACAATAATTTAATATGACATGACATCAAGAAAAAAACTGTTAATTAATACCCACATCTTAAACAACCTGGCATTGAGATATAGATCTATGAGGAACTGGCCCACAAGCTGCTGCTCAGCAAAAAAAATTAAATCACCACACTGTCTGCAACAGAAGTTTCCAGCGATTCTGAATCAGATGAAAAAAATACTAAAAAACAGAAATGACAGAAGATATAAATACTTCCAATGGTACTTCGTTTTTCATAAGAGTTTTACGGCACTCGCAACACAATAAGGTCATATAAGTGCCAAAGATTAGAGGTGTTACAAGAGAATACAAAACACAAAATAGAAGGGGGGGTGGGGGGGGAGATATAGACGATAGATCGTTTTGTTTTTTTATAGTAGAGGGTTTTACGGCACTCGCAACTGCATAAGGTCATATGAGCGCTAAGGGGTGGGTGTCAACAGAGAAGTCTTTACAGGGAATCAGACTTAGACTGCTCACCTCTCTAGCTTCAACAGCACAAGGTCTGCTTCCACTATCAAGGCAACCCGGAAATAGCGGGTCACAAGGGAGTGACAAACATACAAAAGAAGTAGAGGAAACTGACAATAGTAAGGATCAGGACAGATAAAGCAGCAGTTCCCTGTTGTAGATCAGGCACAGTTATGAGCATGACATGAGTCAGCCCATTTACAATTTTACCATGCTTGAACGAGATATGTCCCCCCTTTGGGAATGGCCTTAAGACACTTCAGTCAGTGGCACTGCCCCGGGGGTTGCAATAGATGCTTGATAGGAAAGAAGAAGCAAACCACACCAGACCACCCGCCAACCACCCACAGACAGACTTCACCAACTCCGTGCAAGCAAGGACAGTTCTCACAGAGACAAAGTCTACCATGTGCAACTAACTGATCTTCTTTCTTCTTCTCGATCGCATCACACTTGAAGTCTGGTATCTGTCATAAATTGGGCCGTCCTGTTCAGTTCATCTGGCGGCCCGTATAGCTTCTCTACTAACTGATATTCTACTAGTAATCTGTCCCCGTGGTTTTGTGCACCCCACATAATTTAGCAAAATTTGATCATTTTTTGCATAATTTCTTTTTATTTTCCTTTATCATTCTTTGTTAAAATTAACAGAATCGCACAATTTCACATTTTTGGGCTCAGTTTGCATAATTTCAGATTTTTTTTGTGTGCATAAAACCGAGGGGACAGAGTAACATGTACCATGACGTTGAGAGAAGGCTAACCCAGTCCTCCACCACCCCTCAAGCCCAAGGTGTTTTAAAGCTAGCATTGACAGGCCAGGGTCTGAGAGAAGATTTCCAATACTCAAAGATGCACGGCACAAAAGCTCTGTCAAGAATGGGAAGTACGGTGCTTAGACTTCCTTCAGGACCGAACAATTCTAAGACATACTCATTGAGCAAGGTAATATCTGCAGATGAGTGTCGCATCATTAACCATTTTCAACAGTTGTAAAACCAGCTCAACTAAAAAAAAAAAACTCATACACTCAAGCAAATGTAAATATTGAAAAAAACAACCAACCCTTCATCTCGCTTTTTTAGTTGAGTACAAATTTGTAAAAACAAAAAAGTTTTGTTTTAAAAGAACACATTTTCATAGACGATAATTCATGCAAAAGAAATAATACTATACTTGAAAGAAAAAAAATGCACTGAATTGTACTCGATTTTTTTGTGAGTGACCACAAAATGACAAATAGTTTCTAAAAAGCCGGAAGGTAAGTCAGCATCTAACAACATGTACACCATTTGACCTCACAAAATAAAACCTTGTGATCTCACAAATAGCTCATTAGCGGAGGTACACAAAAACAAAGCAATCTTTATCCAACTCTCACAACGCTTAAAAATGAGCAGACACAGCGACACTAAAATACTGTAAGCAAGAAGAAAATGCAAAACATGCTTCTCAAATGCAACGAGCTTGCGTATGAATGACCCTGCTTTGTTCAGAAACAAATTGGGAATGCAATATACGGGCGATCTCTTCAACATTGTAAATATAACTATTTACACCTTTAAAAGTAGGGGGGGGGGGGGGGTGGGGGGGCAAAAACCTGGTCTCTATTCCTCATTATCACAACTCAAAACCTGCTCCCTCAAAAAATCAACACTTGTTGTTGGCAGATCTGGTAGGCAAGTAATTTCTTCAAAGACTGCATCTCTCTGTCAGTTAACAGAAGAGTGAATGGTTGATGTTATATATACGTATTATAATTATAATATCTTTCTGTTCCCATTAAATGGTCGCTTTAAAGGACAAGCGGGCTAATCCAGATTTGCGGGGTTTCCAGAAACCTTGACCAACCCCAAAAGAGGGCATTACCCTACCTATAGGAGAAGTTTGGTGTCATTGGTGTGTATATTTGTTTGGTTATAGAGAAAACTCTCTTTGTCTTTTCAAGAAACTGAACTGGAGTTTGAAAACTTTACCTTCAATTTTCTCAAAACAGCATTTTTCGGGATAGGGGCTTAAAGCGACCAAATGTTCTGCCACCAAATGTCACAAATTCTTCTTTATTTCCATTCATTCAACACACCAGAATGGAGTGGGTGGACGCCAGACACAGACAGTAAAAATTCCATAAATTTAACCTCCTATCATAGACCTTTTTACAGTACCAAAATGTTACACCTTACAAACGGTCACACACAATGAGCCTGAATACCAGGGGAAACCAAAGCTGAGCGGAATAGCATCTTCAACAAAGAGCAGCTTAAAAAAATACCCAACAGACTGCTCTGCTGAAATTAAAAGAGAACACTTTCCATACACATGTGAAAAGATGCAGTGATACAAAAAAAAGTACAAAAATTATGAATTCGACTCTTCTTCCGAGAAGGAGAAAAATCTTTTGAAAGAAGAAGTCATGCTGGTGAAAACTTCGGATATATCGCCCGACATACTCTCCTCCTCCGCCTGTTCCTCCCCTGGTCGCTGCTGCTGCTGCTGCTGCTGGTGAGAGAGGCTGCCCCGTTCCATCCCTCGCTCGGCCGGAGCCTCTCTCACACCATCAATGGAGCCATTCTTCTCGGCACTCTCAGTCCCTGGTTGAAGTTCGGGAAGGGACATGGAGCGCTTGTCACTCAAGTTACTCATTTCCACTTCGTTGATGGCAGCTTGCCGTTTCTTCACATACCTTCCGCTGGCAAAGCCTGGACACAAACACAGAAAATGTGGAGAAAAAAATGGATGAAAATTCCCTCCACAGAAAAGATGCAACAAGATTACAATTCAAAACACACAGAGGGAGAAAAAAGATTACACTTTACTTAAATAGAAATCAGATTACAATTCAGTACACTTTACTTTTACTTTACTTTTCCCATCCAGCGGCCATCTGAGTTCTAGCCCTTCGGCCTAGATTCACTATACAGAATTGGTGAAATAAGATTACAATTCACTACTCAGTATAGTTGAAATAAGATTACAATATACTATACAGTATAGGTGAAATAAGATTACAATTCACTACTCTGAATTGGTGAAATAAGACTGCCATACTGAAAAGAAGAAATAAGCAAACAATTCTCTGCACAGAGACTATGAAGTAAGATTAAACGTCACTAAACGAGATGAGAAGTAGCACAATGTGTTAGGGAGACTCACATTGCAGAATTCATGGGACCAAGCTCAATAACACGTAATAATGATTTAAAGAGAAGAAGAAGTAAAGAGAAGAAGAAGAAGAAAAAGGAGGAGGAGGAGGACGAGGAGGAGCAGAAGAAGAAGGAGAAGGAGAAGGAGAAGGAGAAGGAGAAGGAGAAGGAGAAGGAGAAGGAGAAGGAGAAGGAGAAGGAGAAGAAGAAGAAGAAGAAGAAGAAGAAGAAGAAGAAGAAGAAGAAGAAGAAGGAGAAGGAGAAGGAGAAGGAGAAGGAGAAGAAGAAGAAGAAGAAGAAGAAGAAGAAGAAGAAGAAGAAGAAGAAGAAGAAGAAGAAGAACTATAATAACAATGATGACGATGATAATAAAATTAACAGTACTGATAATATACAGTTTAGTTATAGTAGAGGTTTTACGGCGCTCGCAACTGCAAAAGGTCACATAAGCGCCAATAATATAGTGTTTACTAGGAAGTCCGCTATAAAAGTGCTTTACTACATTCATTTGACAAAAAAACTCTGTATCTAACGCTGCGACAGTCTCTTCCATCCGCTGCAACATACCCACAGTGCCACCAACAACACCAGCCGCAGCGCCCAGCTTCGCCCCAGCCAGAAGTCCTAGAGGCCCAGCCACGACGCCCCCAACAACGGCCCCAACCACAGGCAGAAAGACACTCTTGTACTTGGACGCCTGGGAAAGAAGAAATGACAAAAAGGAAAAAGACATGAATGAAATTTCTTATTTAACCACAGTCATCAAGAAGTTTAGTTGTAGTTAGAGTTTTACCGCACTTGCTACACAATTAGGTCATAGAAGTGCCAAGGATTAGAGGTGTTACAAGAGAGTAAGAAACACAAAAAAGGAGGAGGGGGGGATAGAAATGACAGATTTTTTTTTATAGGAAAGAAGGAGCAAACCACACTAGAGCACCCGCCAACCACCCACATAATCAAGAAGAGGCAGAAATAGTTCATTGAGAATAAATTAATAAGAGAACATGGACAGATGGGGGGGCAGGTAAATTCCTGGAAAACGTAAGTTTTCTGAGAATATCCGAGCAGAGAAAAGAGAGGCAAACCATGATCACCATGGTCCAAGTTACTTTCTAAATCCTCTCAGCTAACCTGTGCCAGCTTCTTGGTTCCCTCTTTGACATTTTCATGAGCAGAGTCAATATGGTCTTCTATGGCATCAATGGCCTCTCCTTGTTCCTGAAGAGAAAGAGCATGTTAATACTTAATAATAATAATAATAATAATAATAATAATAATAATTGCATTTATATAGCGCATATCCACGCTCAAGAGCATGCTCTATGCGCTTTACAACTATTATTACCCCAGCAGACCCTCTGAGAACCGTGGAAGCATACGGTGCAAACTGCAGATTTCACGCGCTCAAATACTATCAAACTGACAAGATTGTTCACTGTCTATAGCCAGGTACTCATTTCCGCCTGGGTGAAGTGAGGAAAATTTGTGCAAAGTGCCTTTCCCAAGGACACAACGTCAGGCCCCTCTCGGGATTCAAACCCACGACCTTATGGTTGAGAGTCCGAGAGCCTAACCACTAGGCCACCGACGCAACAGTACTTGAAACTAAAGGTATACTGGAACACGCATCTGTCTGCCAAACTACAAGAACAAACCCTGACAAAGAACAGCACACAAATACCCCACCCTCCTCCAACAACTACTATAACATGGCACAGATATGGAAATACCATAACATGGGTTCTGATTGTCATTCTTAATTCTCTCTTCATTAAATATCCGAAGCTAAACAAAGTAACTTGAATCTTTTCATGGTACTCAACGTGTCTAGACATAAAAAAACTCAAGAAAAGTGTCTTTCTGAGGACTTATAACAGCAAGAAACAACCGACGAGTAATCTGAGAACACAAAAAATGGACAAACATTCATGACGTTCTAATTCACTGCCTACAGAATAATCACCAACACGTGTCAAAATCAACCATGACGCCCTTGTCAAAACAAATCCCCGAGCCATAATCAAAATCAGTCTCCAAGATAGCTGTCAAAATCAAAATCTATGACTTGTCAAAATCAAAGTCAAACAATAGTAACAAAATGCTTGCAATTCTTCAAGAAAATCTGTTATGGAGAAAACATTACAAAAGAGAGCATTCAACCTTACCTCAACTTCTGATGCAAACTGATGTACAAGCTCATTCAGCTCCACTATATTCTGAAAGAAAAAAAAAGAAGGAAAAACATTAAAGTTTCTGAACACTAAAACATACATATTAGAGTTTCTGATTACTATAACTCACCCATCGAAGTTTCAGAGCATTATAAAAGACTTATTAATTATCAGAGTTTAAAAACACTGTAACATACACATGTGAAGCATCGTGGTGAGATCAGGCGCTCGTCAAAATAATGAAATCCGAGAAATCAACATTTTTCGGCCAGTTTGGATATTTTATTTTTTTTGGCTCAACACCTTGTATGCCTATTCAACACCACTTTTGTGTGTGGATTTTATGGAAAACGGTAAAAGGTAAAAAAAAAAGTAAATTTGTAGTTTCCATGGAATTCACCAAACTTTGGCAGCCATTTTCTCGCTAAATTTACTTCTAAAACCAGGCGACCCCAACTTCTTCAATCGTAAATAAATTGACTTGTATTCTAGATAAATGGATATTTTTTTCATCAAAAGCAAGGCAAATTAAAAAAACTTTAAGATGATACCAATGACTCCATATGCCCAAAAATTGATGAGCGCCTAATTCCACCGTGTCATGACACACATAACAGTCAAATGATACCCGCTAAGCATGTCTATCCTTCCAGGTAGTCTACCCCTCCACTTTGTTGGCCCTTCGTCCAGTCCTTTCACTGTGTTCATCTATCCCTTATGTCACTCCGCCTCCACCCCCCCCCCACCCCGAAAAAATAACAACCCCCCACACACACACAAAAAAAAAGCCCAGGGCTCTGCACAGGGCCAACCATCAACCATCAAACATGCCAGTATGCTCGTCAATTTCTGAGCAATTTTGTGTGAATAACGTTTTGTTGCTGTTTGCAATGTATTATGCCTAGTCAGATATGGGGGTGGGTGGTTGGTGGGTGCTCTAGTGTGGTTTGCTTCTTCTCCCCTATCAAATATCTATCGTCCTCAACTCTCTTCCTTCTTTTTTATGTTTGTTACTCTCTTGTAACACCTCTAATCTTCTGGCACTCATATGACCTTATGCAGCTGCGAGCGCCGTAAAACCTCTACTAAAACAAACAAAATATGGGGTTAAGTAAAAGATGAATTGCATTAATTTACTATTTTGATACAGCCTTAAATGAAATCAGAGCAACCCTTCTCCCTCCAAGACCTAACATTGACAACACACTCTATGGAACATTACAGCAACGGCAGCAAACCTGCACTTATCACTACATAGCATTGGACAGAAGGGCGAGAGCCCAGCTGTTGCTGGATCGATAACGACAACAACAACAACAACAATTATTTTGATACGCAAAGCATCATCATATTACCTCCTGTAGCTGTTCCCAAGACCCTGAGGCATCAGAGTTGTGGGGCACAACATGAAGATTCACGTTAAGAGCAGGGGCCGGCATTGTGGTCACCGTGGCTGGAAGACTCCCATATGGCGTGGGGGTTGAATCCTCCCCGTCCACGTTGTCAAACGGCGCTCCGTAATGCTGAGAGCTGACATCTGTGGAGACAACCGGGACCATCTTGTAGGGCCGGCTGGTGCCTGACGTCTGCCTCACACCGGCGGGAATCTTGAGGTCACCGTGACCTGTCCTCCCCTCGAGTCTGAGACCGTCCATATCTGAGGACAAGAAAATGAAGTCTTTAAGCTCTGAGCCTTTTCATTAAAATAATAAATAATAATAGATAGCATTTGTATAGCGCATATCCCCGCTCAGCAGCAGGCTCTATGCGCTTTACACTATATTATTATTACCCCAGCAGACCATAGAACACTCCGAAACATTCTCAGCTTCCCGGGAAGCATACAGTGCAAGCAGCCGATTAAGCGCTCAAACACTAACAAACTGACAAGATCTTTCGCTGTCTATAGCCGGGTACCCATTCCCACCTGGGTGAAGTGAGGACAATTCGTGTAAAGTGCCTTTCCTAAGGACACAACGTCGGGCCCTTGACGGGATTCGAACCCACGACCTTACGGTTGCGAGTCCGAGAGCCTAACCACTAGGCCACCGACGCATTATAACCCCAAAAGCTTGTCTCCAATTTCTAAGTAGTGGAAACAAAGGTTTAGACATTACTAAAAAAAACTTGGTTCGGGAATAGTTCCAAAAAACAAGCAAACTCTTTAAGCCCTGAGTTATTTCTACCGCTTCCCAGAGTTTTTTTCTAGTCACCTAAACCTAGTACACTATGTCTCATTATAACCCTATAAGCTTGCCTCCAACTTCTAAATAGTGGAAACAAAGGCTTAGTCCTTCCTACTAAAAAACTTGGTTCGGGAATAGTTTTGAAAAACTAGCACTAAATAAAATGAAACAGTTGTCACTAGTACTGGACACTCCCAGAGTCCGAGGGGAAACAGGGTTATTACCGCTGAACGCTTCCAGTGAAATTGAAGAGGAAACACATTTTTCTGTCAGTTTGGCAAATTTGTCAAATTTGTATTTTTTGGCTCAAAACCTTTTATGGCCATATAAAAACACGTTCCCAAATGAATTTTACTAAAAACGTTGATTAAGAGCCCAAAACGAGTAATTTTTCAGGTTTCAAAGACTCTCAAGCTACTGAAGTTACCAAATTTTGGCAGCCATTTTTTTGCTAATTTTACCTCTTAAACCAGGAGACCCCACCTCTTTCTATCGCAAATATTTCGACTTCTATTCAAGATAGAAGTGTGTTTTTTTAATTGAAAGCAAAGCAAATGAATAAACTTTCACATGATACCAATATCTCTACATGGCCAAAAATTGACAAGCGCCTGATTCCACCACGTCGTGATACATATGTTTGTTTGAACTAAAAAAAAGCACTCACATGCGCGTGCTTGTACGTGTGCATGCGTGTGTGTGTGTGTGTGTGTGTGTGTGTGTGTGTGTGTGTGTGTGTGTGTACTTTTTTCGATCAAACATATAATATATATATATATATATATATGAAAACATATGAAACACTTGACAAAATGACAAAACACAACAGATCAGACTGATGGAGTAAGCTAAACAAAAACTTAGCTTTAGAAAGAGTTTTACAGCACTTGCAACACAAGAAGGTCATATATAAGTGCCGAAGAATAGAAATGTTACAAGACAGTCATCATCATTGCCTTTCTCACCCTGTGTCAGGATATAGGCCATGAACACTTTCCACCTTTCCCTATCCTGGGCAAGTCGCTTGATGTCACTCCATGTCTTCCCACTTTTCTGTACATCCATTTCCGTGACTCTATTCCAAGTTCCACGTGGTCTTCCTTTTGATCTTTTACGCTGTGGGTTCCAATCTAGCACTTTCCTTGTTATGCAACTGCTTGACTTCCTGAAAGCGTGTCCAATCCATCGCCAGCACCTTTTCCCCACCTCCTCTCGTTACAAGAGAGTAACAAACACAGAAAAGTAGGAGGGGAGATAGAGAAGATAGATTTTTTATAGGAAAGAAGGAGCAAACCACACCAGAGCACCACCAACCACCCACAACAAAAACGTACAGTGGCAGACAAAACACAAATAAGAAACGGGCAAAGTGTAAGAAGGAAAAGAAGAATAAAGAGCTTGAACAACAGACAAGTAAAAAATTGATCACAAGAAAAATTAGTATTTCCTAACGAAATGCAGCTCCCAGTAATTTCCCAGACAGTCCTAGGAATATCTGCTTCACACACTCTATGAGCTGTCCAAAAGGCAAACAATAGCATGCTCTCTGTCTCTGAGATCTACTTGCTGGCCATCACTGAAAAAAGTCTCTTTTGGCTGGGGGGGGGGGGGGGGGGGGGGGGGGGGGGCCCCTTTTAAAAAGAGTCTACAGGCTATGAGAGTTGCCTCATAAACTGATAGTTTCAAAATCAGCCCCTCCCCTCGAATCCCTCAGGATGTTTTATAGAGACATTTTATGACTCTTTCATACCAGATCATGGCTTTCAAGGATGAACAATAATGATTAGGTTCCTTATGTTTACTAAAACGTCAGTGTTGACACAGGCAATCAAACTAAATCTTTTCACCGACTTCATCTCATCAAGTCATAAGCCACTCCTTGAAGCAATACAAACATTGGATCGCCTGAGACTTTATCAACTTATCTTCCCCTATTTGGCAAACACACAAACGCAACCACAGAATGCACAGAATAAGAAAACCTCAAACCTGCGCCAAGCTCAGTGGAAGAAGCAGCCTCATCCATGGCCACAAAGGGGAGAAATTCTTGCATTGATGACAGCGCTTTCATTTTCACTTCTTTAACTCGAGCATCAAATTCTTCAAGATCCTCATCTCTCACCTGAAATACGACACATCAGAATAAAATTTTCAGTTTGAATTTAATTATTATCCAGCAGAAGCCTGTAGCCCCAGCTCACAGACCACTCAGTCTCTAAAGAAATCTTTTCACAATATTTCTTTTAAAAACCTCCACATTAACAACATTTTTAATCATCACAAAGTGTGAAATACATACTCAACTCACCTTATCTCTAGCTTTTTCAATTTCCTTGATGTTTGCTGTAATCTGTTGGACGGTGCGAGAGGCATTAACTTGCTCCTTGTGAAGGGCATTCCAGTCCTCCGAATTCATTAACTGTAGAAAGGATTAAAGCACTATATAAGTACCACTAAAATACTAACAGACAGAATAATAGATTAATTGGTCGCTTTTAATACTTTGCCGCCACATCTTGCCAATTGGCTATGTTTACCGCGCAGTCTCTTTGGATTTTCCCCCAAATATGATGGCAAAGTGTTAAACACAAGGGTCTATCCCGAAAAATGCTGTTTGGAGAAAATTGAAGGTAAAGATTTGTGCCCCTTGTTCAGTTTCTTTAAAAGACAAAAAGAGTTTCGTCTATAACCAAACAAATATACACACCAATGAAACCAAACTTCTCCTATAGGTAGGGCAATGCCCACTTTTCGTGTAGGTCAGGATTTCTGGAAATACCCGAAATCTGGGTTAGCCCGCTTGTCCTTAAAAGCGACCAATTATGAATAGGTTTTACTCATCCTCGCAAAATACTGTACCACTTCGCATAACATTGTATCAGGTGACATAAGACCATTATCTGGAATCAGTTTTATCATATTATAATTCATCATCACTTTACAGTATAATTTCTTTACTGTCTTCTTCCTCGATCTCGACTGTCTTTACTTTCTGTATTCTCTACTAAAACCTAACATGCAGCTGACAGCAAGCTTTTTCTACTCATAGCACAGCTGATTCGACAACCACAAACACTGTTCTAAGGTGGCTATAATCTCCTTATCCCTATCCGTACGCCCTGGGGGCATTTTGTACCACCAGGGTTGTATTCTTCACATTTTAGAATACTTCTAGTACGAAGATCTATTTGAAACTTTCAGTATTTCTCAAAAAATAATTCTGACAGACTGCTATGCAAAGCGTACTGATCTAATTAACGAGTAAATTTCCTCTCTGAAAGTGGGGGCACAGAGTTCCCCACGTCGTACGGATACGATAGTAAAGCACGACGTACGGATAGGGTTAATCGTCATCTCAATAAGTAGACATTTCGCAATAAACCATCAGTGGCCTGAAAAATTTTCAGAAGGCTAAAAAAGAGGCAAACTCACCCTTTTCACTTGAAACATATTTTCAAACATCTTCAGGAAGCAGTCCTGCTTTTATTTCATTGTTAATCTTCTTTGGAAGCCTCAATGTTGTTTTGGTAAGTGTTTTACGGCGCTCGCAGCTGGATAAGGTCATATGAGCACGTGGGACACATCAAGCATTTTCAAGTTGGTAGGAGCTAATTTTTAATTTTGCCCATGTGGCAGTCAAAGCCTTCTTTTATTGATCTTGGACCACCAAGGGATCTTTAACATGTGTAACTTGCACATGAGACCTCCTAGTTTTTTCACCCTTATCCGAGAAGGCCAGGAGTTAGATCTTACTTACCATAAGATCAGGGATATGACTGATTGACAGCAGTAAGAACGAGCCAAGGAGTAGCAGTAGAATGGCTGCAGAAAGAGTCAGGAGCCCAAAGGAGGGGGAAAGGGGGGAGGGGAAAGGGGGCAAAAAGAGGAGATGGAAGCAGACGACAGAACGTAGAGAGCAGGAAAGGAAATGAAAGAAGAACATTTTTTAGAAGAAAATTTGGTCAGATTTCGAACCCGGGACATATTGAATAAGAGGCGACGGAACACCATAACCTCTAGACCACAGTAGCCTTTCTCAAGCTTCACACATCACTTATATGACCAGTGCCCAAACAATACCGCAGCATGAGGGGCACACACCTGTATCTTTCATTTCAGCCCATCAATAATACCATTTGAACAACAGCAAAACAAAGGAAAATAAGATATTTATTTTTTCCAAACGTGCAATGGCCCCTATGGTTACAATGTTAATAAGAATTAATTCCACCATCTTTTTCATAGGAAGACCAAGAATAAACAAGAATGCTTGCAACATTACAGAACATGTACTCCAAATATGCAGTACAAGAAAAAAAACAGCCCAGCAACCCTCATTCGAATCACTTACCCGAGAGATATTCACAGAATGCTTATACAGCCGATCTAGATCAATATCCAGAACTTTTACAAACTTTCTGATCGACAGATCAAGCCGTTTGATGGGATATTTGGTGACATCACTCTCAGCACTTCTGGATGACGTTTTCCTCAGAAGTCTTTGCTCCTCAGGGTCAAAACTAGCCATACTGCTTTCTTGTAACGTCTGGGGCTCAAGGGTGTCTGTTAGTGATGCAGTTGATGCCTCTATCTGCAACTCTGTGGCTGCTTCTGTTTCTGCTTCATCTGTTCAATTTGAAGGATAGAGAGACAAGTTTAGACAGCAGGGCAAGACATGAGTGACAGTGAATGACAGGAGAAACTACTAAAAGAGAAAGTCCATCAAAGATCAAAGTTTATTTTACAGAATATTATTAAGGCACCAGTTGTCTAGTGGTCAGGCTACCCAATTCATCATCATAATCCTGAGGTGGCAACAGTGGTGGGTTTAGCTGTTCTAGGCTCAGCTTAACCCTATTTCTAATTTTAGTAACAGGTTTACAGCACTTGCAACACAATAAAGTCATATAAGTGCCAAAGATTAGAGGTGTTACAAGAGAGTAACAAACATAAAAAAAGAAGGAGGGGAGATAGAGACGATATATTTTTTTTAGGAAAGAAGGAGCAAACCATACCAGAGCACCCGCCAACCGCCCACTCAGTCCTACGTTACAGTGTCCTTGGGAAAGGTACTTTTCCTCATTCTACCCAGGTGTGAATAGGTACCCGCCCATAAACAGTGAAAGATCTTGTTGGTACGTTAGTGCTTTAGCGCCTGTAAAATGGCAGCTTGCACTATGCTTCTCAAAACATTGTGATTGTTTGAGAATGCTATCCAGAAGGCTTTCAGGTCTGCTGGGGCAATAAGATTGAAAAGCACATAAATGGAGGAAGCTGGCTGTAGGAAAGGAGTTTGAGACATAATTAAATAAATGTTTTAAATACATGTACTGAGAATGCTTACACGATGTATGTTTGTACTGTTGTCAACACAGAAAGTCTTTTTTTTTTTCTCATAAATGTTCAAAAACAAAATTAACAGTACAAGATGTGTGAAAGGCATTGCCTTCTTCACCAACGACAAGGGTAGGTCCATGACACAAGGTAAGAATATAACTGGGTGATAATCACATGAATATCAACCATAAATTTTGTAGGTAAAGATTTTGGCTTTTATTATAATTTCTTAAGCACTTAATTTATGTCTAACACTAACGCTTCCAGAAACTTATTTTTAATGTTTCAATTCCTATCGGCCAAAATTACATTCACATGATGGGAAGTGAAAACGACACCCTCTGTGTCGTTCTGGCAGAAGGGGATGGACGGAAATGACACGGACGGAGCTTGTACTTCTGAACAATATCAATTTTGACAGGAGAGCTAGAGTTCATCCAGTCAGGGTCAACTTCCTCATCAATCCCTGAAACCAAAGCATTTGATGTGTTCATAAAATTTCATATTTAACACGGATAGATCGAACACAGAAGACTTGAAATCACACATCCATCGAACTGTGCCGGCGGTCCCGAGGTTTTTTTTTCTTCTTATCTTTGTAAGATATCCCTCATACTACGGATCCCTCGAATTACCGAGGCCGGTCCCGACGAAGTTCAGCTACCCGTGATATTTTATATATATATACTGTCATATACAGGGGCCTATATAATTATGTATCCACAACTAGTTCTACTCCTTGAAAAATCCGGTCCTGACCATCATGAGTTCACTCACTTGAGACAGGCTCTAAAACACTTGTAACTTAACATGGAGTTTAATACAAGTTCTTATTCACTCTCTAACTTTTTGTCTAAAAAATGGCTGCCATTACTCACACCCTGGATGAGAATAAGATTTTCTCTTATTCCCACCTTCCTGGGGGGAGATTCTAAAATATTTTATTCCATATTTTTTACTTTGTGTGTGTTCTGATCTTGTGAGCATGATTGAGTTTTACTTCTATTCATATTTTTTTACCTTTTTCTTCACTTTCAATGAGATTGACTAGATATGACTGAAAAAGCATTCAAAAGCTAAGAGTGACATATATATGTTATTTCCCCTTAGCATTAGCACTCTCGTTTGAATGTGCTCAATATTTCCAGACCCAGCATAAAATTGTAGAGATCTGCCAGTGTCTCATGTCTAATTCTCACCCAAGGCCCAAGGTAGAGGTTGGCCTTCAGCCTGTATTACATGATCTTATAAAACGAGAATCTAGATTCTATCTAGAAATCTAGATAGGTAAGATGAGAAGTGGCCCAACCAGGGTGCGAATTTTTAAAAAAATTATTCCCACAGCGGGTGAGAATACTCACTTCACTAAAAATTACAAAAGCGCTGAAATTTTGAATGTTAAACCTAGTCCTACTTAGCCTATTCATAAACATTTTATACGGGAATGTTTGCTCGGTTTGGGTTCAGCCTAAGATATTGCTGAATTGTACTTTACCGAACCACCCGTTTGGGCCCGTGATTACTACTTAAGCACTTATAGTTCTCTATGTGCGGACAAAAAGTAGTTCCGCAGGCGACTTCGCGCACAGCACCAGCCAGCAGCGGGGCAAGGTGAGGTGAGCGAGAGATGATGGTTGAGGGTGGGAAGGGTTTCAGAGAGGCTTTCCCCCTGGAAACAACAATAAAGAAAACACACACACGAATGCAAAACAAGAGCGAACTATCGTGTTAAATTTAAGAGGACAATCGTGTTCACATATATAAATATATATATATATATATATATATATATATATATATATATATATCAATACAACAGTGGGGGGGTTTCAGGGGGGGGGGGGGGGGGGGGCCCCGGCAACAATAATTTTTAAAAAGACACACACATAAATGCAAAACAATAACATGAACGGACCATGGCGTTAAGTGGACAATAGGGATAATTAGAGTTGGAACAGGCCGAGCCTCGTTATGGCAGCACTTGCGAAGTCACGAGCAGGGCCGAAGGGATTGAAATTATAATGCAAATGAGCTCTCGTGCGCATCTCTCAATCCCCATTGTACCTGGCCGGACCAGGAGAAGGCCTAGGTCTAGCAGAGTCGTGAGCAAAAATAAGAATAGTGGACCACCTGATTAGATTGACCAATTAGCCTCAAGGTGTCAGGGTCGTGGGTCAAAGGGCACGGTGGCACGGTCGTGATGACTGAAAAACCCGGTACGAGACGCAAGTCGATAGTTGGCGGTCGAAGGGTGAGAACGTAGAAAACTGAGTAGGACGGTGAGTAGGGGAGCTCGGAAAGGAAGAATAGCAGGCCACAAGGCACCACGGGCGCCATAGCGAAAGTAGTTCCGACCGGCGGTCCGGTAAAGTACAATCTTACCATTTACCTACTTTTGAGTTAAAAGGGTAGAGTTAGGTCTAGATCTAGCCATAAAAACAGTAGTTAAATTAGATCTCTACATCTACATCTAGCTAGAATCTACATCTACATCTAGCTAGAATCTAGATCTAATCTAGATCTAGATTCTACTGCCGTACCCTTGAATACCTTATAGACTGCCGGAATCCAAGGATTACCCGGATTCAGCATATATTACATCGTAGAATTAGAAGCGCATTAAGCTGGGAAAGTTGAAAGCCTTGCCCCTTTTATCGAGACTCATCACCCTCAAACTGTAGTCAAACAGCACCCTTCATTAATTAAAGGGTGACCTTATTTAGGCCACATATGGCCTAAATAAGCTAAACCCCCCTCCTTTACCTTATTTAGGCCACATGTGGCCTAAATAAGCTAAACCCCCCTCCCTTACCTTATTTAGGCCACACCTGTGGCCTAAATAAGCTAAACCCCCCTCCCTTACCTTATTTAGGCCACACCTGTGGCCTAAATAAGCTAAACCCCCCTCCCTTACCTTATTTAGGCCA